CACCCTGACAAAGGAGTCAGCAACTAGTGAGACGCCCATGTCCACCGTCGTGATTTTCCTCTATATATGTTGCAGAAATCTTGACCTTGACAGCAAAAGCTTGACACCTTCAGGTCTCCACGAAACAACTTCCAAGCCTTACACTCCTCCGAGCAGTCTAATTGAGTGTGGTTGTAGCGCCACCCATCTGCAAGAGAAGGAATTCATATTCAGTGCCACAGTGGTCTCCAGACTTCCTCCACAGGCACCTCTCAGCAAGGGCTTCCTGGGCTTGGAGAGCCCCCACAGTGTCTGAAGTCGGGGGGCGGCTCAGCAGCATTACCTCTGATGTTGAAAAAGGAGAGATCCCTGGTTCTGCATCCAGGGCCCTGCTCCGCGGTGCAGTTGCCATGGCCTTCCAAACATTTGCCCTTCTTGAAAATCTTGCAGACCATACACAGCGTGGCTGGAGCTGCGGACAAACAGACATGAAGGCTGAGCCTGGGGTGGAATGGGCGGAGACCAAGGTGGCCTAGGACACGTGAGCATTCTGGAGTCTAGGGACAAAGCGTGACTCCAGGTACCTGTCCCACACATACTTTGGGGCAGGACATATCCCCACTGGATGACTTCCATTAGGTATTTAGGGAAATGGAGTCTTTGATGGGGGGGGGGGAATCTCAAAACCCATTTAGGGATACATAACTGTGTACACTGTGTGGCTGAACTGTATGGTATGTGAACTTGTGTTTCATTAAAGCTGTTCGAAAGAAAACTTTGGACAAGAACATGAGATGTTACCACCAGGTGGCATGGGAGACACTGGGAGGTGAGATACAAGGGGAGCAGATGCAGGTTCTAACCAGGCAGGTGAAAGTTCCAGCCCCGTACCTAAGCAGCACTAGGAGATCATGTCTCCTTCACTGTTGCTCCCTAGGAGCCCGGCTGAACTCTCCCTGGGACCAGCCCTGTGCTCACAAGCACACAAAATATAGGGAGGTTCACCAAGGACATCGTCTCCCCTCAGCCGTAAGCCATGGCCAGGGTGCAGGGGACGTCTGTGGACAGCCCCTCTGGGCCCGGCCCTCTGGGAACAGATGGGGCGGAAGGCCTCTCTACACAGCTGGGAGGTGAGGAGGCAGATTTTAGTTTTCAAGATTTCTGAGCCAGCACAAAAGTCGTCCTAAGCACACACAGATTTAAGTGAAAGGAGTAATGTGAAAATATTTGTTCAAAATAAGCTACCCAATTGCCTCTTCCTGCTAACACACTGCCCCTAGGCTGCTGCTGCACAGAGTCTTGAGCAACCATTGGCCCTGCCTTGTAGGGCCGGCCATCCCAGACAGCCCCAAAGCCCCCAGCTCCAGACAGTCCCACAGGAGCAACAGACCCACTCTGACACCTCGGGCAGGGACCCGAACCCTTTCCCGGTAGTAGTGCGGATGGGACAGCACAGAGACAGACACCTCAAACCCCAACTGGCCAGGTCATCCCAGAACCTCACCCTTGACCTCACTCCCTCCCAAGCTGGTCAGACCATCATGCCCACGGTGCTCCCCCCACCTCCTCATCCTCACCCCCACCCAGCTAGCCCAGGGCCTCACCCACTCCCTGGAAGAACACAGCAGGGAAGACTCCCAGCAGGAGCAGCAGCAGCAGCAGGAGCTTGTCCATCTCAGTCCGGGTGACGGGAGGTGCGCACAGGCTGGAGCAGGGCAGCGAGTGCCCAGGAGGGCTGCACGGGCTGCTGTGTGTGTGGACAGGAGGGCTGGGGAGCGGCACTGAGCTGTTCTCGGGCTGTGGGCAGAAGCTTCCTCTTGCACAATTACCAGTGGGTGTTTCACTGCCACTCAGGCCCAGGAAACGTTCCCACGGGGCCAAGCACCCTGGATACTTCCGAGGATGGAGGCTGTGCCGGGTGCCTCCTGATGAGCAGAGACCTTGCCTGGCCAGATCAGCTGGACCACGTAGCAGTCCGACTCTTGACTCTCTGAATATCCCACTGCCCTAGGCCCCAGACCACGGACCCCCGTGCTAAAACGCCCACGTCCTCCAGGTCCAGTGTCCCCTACGACCACCTCTCCCGCAGTCCTCTGGCCCAAGGCCAACAGCCAGCAGGGCCGACACCCAGACTCAGGGCCCAGGATGTTGTATTGAGGGTTAGCAGCCCGGCCATCTCTGAACGTACTGAATCTGTGTCAATAACAGCGGGGTAGTCACAGCAGCAAGCGTTTACTCTGTATTCTGTCTAAGCCAGTGTCTCCATCTGCTATCATGCCTCGTACAATCAGGATGTATCTGCATCTGTCACACAGCAAACGTACAGCAGAAACTCCCCAAACACAGAACAAAAGCACCATAGAGGAAGAGCTTATTTTACAAGATACAAAACTATTCCTGCTCCATTACTTTTATTTCCATACCCTGAACTCACATCCTCCTGGAAACGTCCTGCCTGCAGACCCGTGCGGGCTGAAAAATGCCTGGAGCGCAGTGGCGGTCAGTGTCCGTGGCGGAGTGGCCTCAGAGGGTTAAGCGGGCGGGGCGGGTGGAGCCAGCCCGTTGGGAGAGTTGTAGAGGTGGGGATCCCTGGTTGATATATGTGGGTTTTATAAATGACGTTGCAGAATACGCTGCTCTTCCATCAGCGTACAGGTTGTGCATAATTGAAGAAAACTAAGCAAAACCCACAGGAGAACGTATGGTAAGAAGATGCGTAATCGTTGCGGTAATCTGGGAAGCGATGAAGCGATGGTGAGGGCAGCCTGTTGCGTTGCCACAGAAGGGGGCGCTCTCTCTCATGAGGGCGCCAGCTTGTTGCGGGCCTGGGTGAGGGCAGCGGCTCCCAGGACAGAACACGGAGGAGAGAGATGTACGGTGGAGGGGGACGGGGGCGGACAGGGACTGCGGCAAGGACCGACACTCCCTGTGTGATGTCTGGGGGAGGGGCACAAGGGTCTGCGGGAAAGGGTGTGTCTGTCCACATACACGCGTGGAGAGTGTGGTTAGGACTGCTGACTGGCCGCACTGCCCAGGTAGAGAAGAGCTGTCCCTGAACGTAAACCTCTGCTATTTCCTACTCTCCCTTTAAATTTCAAATTTCCTTAACGGAGATTCGTAATTGTTGACACTGAAACAGAAGAATAATGTGAATAATCAAACCAACACTTACTGCATCCTTACTCTATATTGGACATTGTGCCCCAAACCTGTCAGTATATGTATTTTCTTTCATCGCTGCCAACTATGACTGAAGTATAATCACTATCATCTCTCCTTACTAGAGGAAATTGAGACCTACAGAGAGGTCCCAAGTTGCCATGGCCTCAGAATTCTCAAACACTGGACCCAGGCTTCAAACCCAGATCTGCCGATACCCGAGGGCGTGCTCTGGCCAGGCCCTCCCTGGCGGGGTCTCAGCCCGGACACTTTGCCGGAGGATCCAGTGGGGCTGGGTGTGGGCCTGGAAGCTTGTGGCGGCCCTGGGCACCCACGGTCTGGGTGCTGCCGGGAAAGAGGCTCCCACGCTGGGAGACAGAGCGTGCCTAATGACTCTGTGTAAACGGACCGTATAATTCATTCTTTAGACCAGGGCATCTCGGGAGAAAAGAGGATAATTTAGTACGTAAGCTTGGACTAAAGTCATGAATTAGAAGCCACTTATCTCTCTCCCAGCTTTAGGAGTCTGGAGGGAGGCCTTCTTGGGCTCAGGATAAGTTTCATATATCATCTCTATCAAGCTCTCAATTCCTGGCGGGCCTCCTTAGCCTCTTCTCCTGTGAAGTCAGACAGTGTCCACAACGTATCATTCGGGGACATGCGTGTATCATCCAGCACAACTCTGTCATATGAAATGACAACTATTTCCCTGTGCAACCTGATGTCGAGATTCTACAGGATGGTTTTTAAGAAACTTTCCAAGGAAGAGTGGATGAAGGAAGGCTAACCAGGAATCTGGGGCACTGAGTCCTTTTGTGAGGTGACCTTGGCCTTTGCTGGTATAGATGTAACAGGTGACATCTCTAAATGACTCGTGTGGTGTCAGATACGCAAGCAGAGCCACTTCAGTCATACACCATCTCGACTTTATGTTGCAATGATTATCTCGTGGTCACAGACATTTCCTTCCTAGTGGGTCCACATCCCATAAGTCCGTCAAAGAGTTTTGCTTTTTGTTAGAAACCTAGGTGGGCCAGGTATGTGGTGCTTACGGAATCAGTAGCAAACACCGTGAGGATGTTCCTGCAGCACACACGGCCCCGGGAAGATTCGGCCTGATGGTCATTTTTGTTTCTTCACACTCTTTCTTCTTCAATTCCCCAGTGATAATATGTCCCTTTCCACTACCACGTTACCTGTTATTTTTTAAAGATTTATTTATTTATTTTTAGAGAGAGGGAAGGGAGGGAGAAGGAGAGGCAGAGAAACAACCCATGGTTGCCTCTTGCTCGCCCCCTACTGGGGACCTGGCCTGCAACCCAGGCATGTGCCTGACTGGGAATCAAACCAGTGACCCTTTGCTTTACACGTAGTCCAGTGCTCAATCCACTGAGCCACACCAGCCAGGGCTGTCCTGTTACGTGTTATGTATCATCAATATTATGACATTCTTCAAGTTTGCAGAGAACAGCGTATCTTCCGTAAATTAATGCTGTTGAAGAACAAAGTTGTTCCTTGGCAGCTCCAATAATTTGTCTGTATCTCGTTTGCCCCATTTTCTACTCCTCCTGCCCCCTTTTTTGCACACTGATGATGGGGTGATGGAGTCTCAGGGAACTGTGAGACCCCTGGAATTCAGCTGTCACTGTTGGGGGGGCACACTGAATGTAAAGGTGACTCTGGGTTACTCAGGAAAATTACTCAGCCTGGGGACCGGGTAATAAATGGAATTGTTTGTACATGCACCCATGGTTCTTCAGAATCTGCTGTGCATGGCCCTTGTCGTTGGGAGGTGGCTGTCACGTTATGCATGATAGCTCTGCTGCTGGGGCACCCGGCACAGCCTCCATCCTCGGAAGTATCCAGGGCGCTTGGCCCCGTGGGAACGTTTCCTGGGCCTGAGTGGCAGTGAAACACCCACTGGTAATTGTGCAAGAGGAAGCTTCTGCCCACAGCCCGAGAACAGCTCAGTGCCGCTCCCCAGCCCTCCTGTCCACACACACAGCAGCCCGTGCAGCCCTCCTGGGCACTCGCTGCCCTGCTCCAGCCTGTGCGCACCTCCCGTCACCCGGACTGAGATGGACAAGCTCCTGTTGCTGCTGCTGCTCCTGCTGGGAGTCTTCCCTGCTGTGTTCTTCCAGGGAGTGGGTGAGGCCCTGGGCTAGCTGGGTGGGGGTGAGGATGAGGAGGTGGGGGGAGCACCGTGGGCAATGATGGTCTGACCAGCTTGGGAGGGAGTGAGGTCAAGGGTGAGGTTCTGGGATGACCTGGCCAGTTGGGGTTTGAGGTGTCTGTCTCTGTGCTGTCCCATCCGCACTACTCTCAGGAAAGGGTTCGGGTCCCTGCCCGAGGTGTCAGAGTGGGTCCGTTGCTCCCGTGGGACTGTTTGGAGCTGGGGGCTTTGGGGCTGTCTGGGATGGCCGGCCCTACAAGGCAGGGCCAATGGTTGCTCAAGACTCTGTGGAGCAGCAGCCTAGGGGCAGCGCATGAGCAGGAACAGATCCCTGAAAGGCTCAGCTGGAACCAATATTTTCACAGCAAGCAAACTGCTGTTACTTAGGTAGGTCTGAATGTCCAGTGTCTCCCAGGGGGCAGGGGGTGTGGTAGGAACTTTGTGGGACTGTCTCCCCACTTTGGGAGCCAGGTCAGTCCTTACATCCCGTGATACTCTAACAGATTTCTAGCATCAGGTGGCTGGGAGCAGGTGCTCTCACTGTGACCTGCATTCTGGCACCAAGGTGAGGGGAGACCTTGCACTTTATTTTTAATGGAATTATGAACCTCTGTCAAAGTCCCACATGCTTAATGAATCAATGGACATATTCTGGTAGGAACATTTCCCAGCTTTCAGAGCGTGCAGGAGGAGGCTTGCAGGGTCACACTTCCCCTCAGAGTCCCCAGCCCTTTTGGTCCTAGCCCACCTTGGTCTCAGCCCATTCTCTCCTGGGATCAGCTGTTGGGTCTGCCTTCCACAGCCCCAGCCACAGTGTGCATGGTCTGCAGCAATTTTAAGAGAGGTCATTGTTTGAGGGGAAAGAGCAACTGCACCATGGAGCAGGGCCCTGGATGCAGAACCAGAGATTTCTTCATTTTCACCGACAGAGGTAATGCTGTTGAGCCGGTGGTGGGGCACTCCCCACTGAGGAGGGCCTGGCCGAGGGGTGCCTGTGTCTGGAGACAGGGCTTGGTGGATAGGGTTGGGGCAGGTTCTCTAGCGAGAGCTCCAGGCGTGGCCCTCTGGCACCGAACGTGATTTCCTTCTTTCCCAGATGGGTGGAGACTCAACCACACCGAACTGGACTGCTCAGACCGCTGTTTCCCTTCACAATGGCATTATGAGACCCTGAAGATTTCCACCTTTTGTTGTAAAGGTCAAGATTTCTGTAACAGATATCAAGGAAAGGGACAGGGATAGAAACTACTGACTCCTTTGTCAGGGTGGCGTCCCCTCGCCCCCTCCTGTCCCTGGCACCTCTGCTCCTGTCTCCCTCCCCACATGCACCTCAGGGGCACGCACAGTCCCCCTCTGTCCTCCACACTCCCCCCTTCGCCTTTCTCCCGGCCACTGGCTCCTTCCCCCTGGACACCGGACACTCTCAGCTGCCCCTGCTTTCAGGTCTCTGCGTCCTGCACACCTGCAAAGCACCCCCAGCCTCCTCACCCCGCATTTCCTGCTCTCTCACAACCTCGCATTTCTCTGGCTGCCTGGCTGCCTCATTTCTAATCCCACCCACTCAGAAGGGACTGGAATGTGCCTGGAAACGGAATGGGTTCCATTCTCCACACCAGGAGTGTGAGGGGTCAGTGGAAAACTCAAGAAAATGTGTGCAACAGGCCGATGGGCAGGGTGGCCTCAAAGTGCAAGGAGGTTCCAAGGCCTGAGGCAAAAAGATGGGATGTCAGCCTTAGATGCTACGTGCATAGTCAGGACCCACGGACAGTCACAAGACTCGGAGGGGCTGTCCAATGGGAGGAGAAGGGAGTAGGGGTGAATGAGTCACGGCTACTGGAGCCCACCAGCATAAACAGTGGGTAGTGGTCAGAGAGACAGTGAGTTGAGGAATGGATGGAGCAGGGCAGGAGGAAGTGGTGAGCATGCGCATCTCTCCCAAGAAAGTGGAGAAGAACTGAGAAAGTCAAACAGTACTTTTTGTAAGAAAAGTGAGTTTAATATGCTTTTAGACAGAGTTTTATGTCTTCTCTTTAATGTAAAATGCCTCTTTTATTAGGACTGCAAGAATACCTTTCACCATCTTCTCATCTTTCTCAACATATGTTTTAAAGCATCTCTCTTGTTCTTTGGGCTTCTTTTTCTTTTTCCCTTTAAAGTACACTGTGGTCCTCGTCCCCTCTTTCATTCTGTTCCCCTTATCAGTCACGATACAAAGATGGAGAATGTTATGATGATGTTAAATTACTTATGAAATATAACCTTACATTTCTTGTTTATAAATTAAAACAAAATAAGAGGAATTTCTTTCTCTTGTTGCAACTTGTTTTTAGCCTCAATTTTTCCTTTGCTGTGTACTGCAGGGGTGTGGAGATTATTTGTATTTTAATCATTTTTGATTACTTCCCACTCACAATTTAAAATAAACTAAATGGAGCATTTGACCTTTCTCTTGGAAAGACTAACAAAATAAATTCATTTTCTGTGTGTTTAATGTGGGTAACATTTTTCAAAGTCATAAGAAAAATCTTTGAAAAATCTTCAAAAAATCAACTTTCTTAGATATCAAATTTAAATATTTTTTATAGATTTCATCTATAAATTTGAACTGAGATAGGAGGTGGAAGGGAAACCAGGTGGGATTAGCCATTCTGGGAGACTTGTTATTAAATGCTAAAAAGTCAGCAACAGTCCCATCAAGATCAAAGCAAATAAAACCCAACCCGAATATTCCAGTGTGTATTAAGCTGGGTACACCTATAACGCCTGATCTCATCAGAAAGAACCACACCGATGGTGGCAGAACTAGTGAGAGGGCTTTTTATTATTAAAAAAAATACTTTGTATACCTTCACACCTATTAAGATGTCTAATATTTTTTTTAAAACCAGAAAACTAAAGTGTTGGCAAGAAAGTAGAGACATAAGAACGCTTGGTCCCTGTCGGTGGAAATGTGAAATGGAGCGGCCAACAGCATGATTGTTATAATGAGGGTTGTTGAAAGAAATTGAAGAAGACACAAAGAAATTAAAGGATATTTTTGTGTTCATAGATTGGAATAGCCAACATTGTTAAAATTGCGATATGACCTAAAGCAATCGACAGATTTAATGCAATCCTTCTCACAATCCTAGTGGCAACTTTCACAGAAATAGAACAAAAAGTTATGTATAGAACCACAGGAAACTCCAAGTAGCCAAAGCAACCTTGAGAAAAAAGACGAAAGCCAGAGATTTCATACTCCCTGACTTTAAACTATACTACCAAGCTATAGGAATCAAAACAGCATGGCACTGGCAGAAAAACAGACACACAGACCAATGAAACAGAGTTGAGAATCTAAAAATAAACCCACACACCTATAGGGAAAATTCATTTATGATAAAGGAGTAAAAAATATGCAATAAAAAAGACAGTCTCTTTAATAAATAATGTTGGTAAAACTGATCAACCACATGCAAAAAATAAATAAATAAAACTAGACCACTGTCTTACCTATACACAAAAATTAACTCAAAAAGGATTAAAGCCTTAAATATAAGGCTTGACACCATGAACTTCCTGGAAGAAAACATACACAGTAAGCCCCTTGGCATCAGTCTTAGCAATGTTTTCATGGGTCTGCCTTCAAAGACAAGGGAAACAAAAGCGAAAAATAAACAAAATGGACTCCATCAAACTGAAAAGCTTCCACACAGCAAATGAAACTATGACCAAGAAGACAAAAGGCAATCCACTAAATAGAAAAATACTTTTGCAATGATATATCCTGCAAGGGGTTAATATCCAAAATTTCCCCCCAAATTAGTAACAATGAACATGTTTCCATGGGCCTGCTGGCCATCTCCATGTCTTCTTTGGAAAAACATTATGCAGACCACCTGCCATCTTTTAAACTGAGTTGTTCTTTTCTGTTGTTGTTGAGTTGTGTGTGTTCTTTATATACTTCGGATATCAACCCCTTACCGAGAGTTACAGCTTTGTGAGGACCGAGTTTCTGTTTCAGATGATGAAAACACTGTGCACATGTATGGTGGGGAGGCTTCAACGACAGTGCGCGTGTGCTGAACGTTGCCGAACTGCACACTTAAAACGGGCACGGTGGTGAACTTCAGCATTTATTTCATCTTGCCACAATTTAATCAGTAATTGGCATTGTCTTGGTTTTCTGGTACTGTGACACAGAGTTCTCTTTGATTCAGGAGTTAAATTATAATATGATGGTGACTGTAATGTAGTTGCTTCCTATTGGGCAGTTAAGACGCGTGGTCACTACGTAGAGCAACATGTTTATCATTTAGTCTTCACCAAGGCCACGTGAGGAACCTTCCATCAGCCCAGTGTGCAGAGGAGAAAAGGAAGGCTCCAAAAGCAGAGAGAATGTTCCAAAGCTCTGTGTTGCTAGAAGCCCGGTGCTCTCTGGGTGTGAAGCCTGCGCCCTGCCCTCCTGCTCCGGTTTCCCTGTGGCTGAGCCGTGTCGTGCCGTCTGCTGGGACCCAGGACAGAACCTGGGCCAGGAGCCCAGGCAGGGAGGCTGTGGGGCCCAGGGACCAGAGGACTAGAGGGCAGTGGCTTGTAGGCTTCTCTCTCAGTTTAGCTCCCCCCAGTGACCTGACACTCGTGTGACCCCAGGTAGGCGATTTCACCTGAGTGTCAGATCCCCCAACTGTAAGCAGGACCATCACACAAATTAAAGTTTGCCTAGGAAGTAAGAAGAGTTGCAACAGCTTCCACTCATTCAGTCCCCACTGAATGTTCCAGGCTCTGTGTCAGGGAGTTCACGCTATATACCATCTTTTTTCCATTGTCCTGTGACAATATAAAGGAAGGATATTATTTCTATCATACAGAAGATGCTTGAGTGGTTGGGTGCCAGTGAGTGTTGGAGTGCTGACGTCTGCCTGCCTGGATCTGTTGGAAGCCGAAGCCGTGCCCTCCATGGAGTCTCCTACTGCAATAGGCCGCATAGCTGAGAGGACCCAGGGGAGAGGAAGACAAGGGGGAGCTGCACAGCAGAGCTCTGGACGGGGCCGGGGAAGGAGACTGGGGCCGTGTTAAGAGCCCGGGGCCGTTTGAATCAAGGAGATGAAGATGAGAAGGGCTCTGAGTGGACCAGGGTGACAGAGAAGAGGCGGTGCCTCCCCTGGGAGCCCTCCCCGGGCACTCACTGCTAGGCAGGCGCAGGGCCGCAGAGGGGGTGAGCACAGGCAGGTGCCTTTGTCTGCAGCCAGGCTCAGCCACTCAGCCGCTCTGCACCCTCTACAGAGTTCACGGACCTCCCTGACCCCAGCTTCTTCATTGCCATGATGGAAATAATCGCGCTGCATGGTGGGGGGTGTTTATGAGATGATGTGTATAGTGTCCTACCCTGTATCTGTCACATGGGTGTTAAGAAACGTCCAAAACCTGTGCTCACTACCCACCTGAAAGCTACAGACTCACTGAGCCTTCATGTCAACAGCTTAAAGCAGGAGGAGGCTGTGGCAGAGAGGAGGTGAGGGCCGGTAGGATGGAGTGGCGGGCTCCTTCCGAATGCGTGTTTTTTAATATCTGGGTTGTGCAATTTCCAGAAATGCTTGCTTCCCACTGCTCTCGTCACACATCCTGATCCCAGCCAGTCCCAGTGGAGTTTCGGATCCCATCCATGTGAGAAATTAAACCAGGAGGTGACCTTTGCTAGATGCTTCTCTGCCTGGTATCCTTTCCTTCTTACCAGTCACTGTGGAGACAGCCCAAGAGCTGCCCTGCACCTGGTCTGGTGGTTCATTAGAGTTGGCATTGCCATCCTTTCAGGGCCCCCAGATCCCAGCGCAGCCTCCCCCACTATCTCGCCCCACCTGGACTTGGGGTTTGGCCCCCAACCATAGTGGCAGAACCAGACGACCAGGCCTGGTGGGTCTGGCTCGGGCCCAGACTCATTTAAAAGTTGCACATAGTCCTTCCTCATCCACAGTTCATTTCTCTCTGACCTCTTGGCTCTCCAGAGACAGTGTAGGTGGCAGGTGGGAGCAAAGGCTGTCCCGGATATTGATGTTTGTTCAGAAAGGCCGGCAGGGTACAGTCAGGAGGAGGTCCCCACAAGTCAGTTAAATTCTAACTTCTCTAATTGGGTGGGATCAAAGGCAACCTCATTTTTTACTGACACGTTGTTGCAGTAGCTTTCGTTACAACAGGAGAATACATTTTTCTCCCTGTTGGTGATGCGTATATATTCCACACATCTTCTGGGGCAGCCCAGGATGGAATATTGGTAGATGTACTCTGAAGAGGGTAGGAAAATAACAGAGAAGTGCAAGTTAGACGTGGGATGGGACAGGAAATACAGCTGAGTGATCAGACTCTCCCTTCCCATCTGTCCCCTTAGGCAGAGCCTGAGACTTGAAGACCCTTCCACAAAAGGGCCAGGTCCTTCCAAAACAGCTCAGCCCCACCCCCAACGCTTGCAAGCATTTACAGCCAAGGAGCGGTAATAGCTGATCTTATCAGGGATTCAGTAGCTGGCTATCAGAGATGGGCGGGACTTGGAGATCATCCACAAAAACCCAGTCTTTGTGCAGATGAGAAATTCCAACTCAGAGAAGGAAAATAATGTGCCTGAGACCAACGCCTGACTTCCTGCCTGAGCTGGAGGGACTAAAACATTCTGACTCCAGATCTATGGCTCTTTTTTTTTTTTTTTTTTTGCCAAGCCAAGTCATGAAATTCAATCGCCCATCCCTCCTTCTCCTCCTCCCCTCCACTCACCTCCAGTGAAATGTCTAGCATATACTTCTTTGGTCTGGCACACGAAGTCCGGGTATTTGGAATAACAGGAACCTAAACTCTTTCTGCAGGTCTTGCCAACAAATTCATCGCAGGAGGTACAAAGTGGGAATCTCCTTGTGGGATCTGGACATTAGGTGAGAACCATGGGGTGAGACCAAAGGGTGTCACGTGTTTAGGGAGGAGGAGGGGGCTGCCCCGGCTGGTGCAGGGATGGAGGCCGGGACCCCGGACTTCCCAGGGTTCTCTTGTCTCTCTCCTGGGGACCCTCCCTGCACAGCCCAGATCTGTCTCAAGGAGCCTGGTTTTAGGAGTCATGAGGTTTCCAGGAAGCCCTCTCCCTTCTTTCTTTTTAGGCTCAGCCAGAATCTGTGGCTTTTAAAGGGGACACTGAAATAGGCATTTTATTGCTGGCAGAGCTAGGCAAGGTCAGCAGAGAAAGACCCAGGATGAGGGGCGGGGGCAGGCAGAAGGAAGAGGAGGATCTCTGTTCTGAGTTACTTATCGAGACCTGGGTCCCAGTGGAGAGAAAAGGTGATACTGCTCTCTAACTTGCCCAGGTATAGACCCCCAATGATTCTTTTAAAAAACTATTTATTTATTTATTTATTTATTTCGAGATAGAGAGGAAGGGAAGAAGAAAGATAGAGAAATATCAATTGGTTCCCTCTCCGTATGTGCCCCAACTGGG